GCTCCTGACCTCTTGATCCACCTTGGCCTCCCAAAGTGTTGGGATTACAGGCATGAGCCACTGCGCTCAGCTATGAAAATGTTTTCGAGAGACACATCCATTTTCTTATCATTAGATATGATATTCTTTCTGTATTAAAGGCTTTATCTGCCTGAAAACCATTGTCTCGAACTGAACTAAAATACATACATCCTAAAGCTCTTGAAGGAACTCGAATCTTAGTGCTCTTTTTGTGTGCAAATAATGACTGAGACCTGGTAACTAATTGAAATAGCTTCTCATACTTCTCATACTTCTAAGGATTTTTAAGAAACATATTTGTTGAAAACAAATCAACAACTGAAAAAAAACATGTCATTCAGAGTATGATTTCCTTCTTTCCCAATAAAGTTAGTTTCTTTCTCTCTTCTATAATTCCTGTCTCTTTCATTGTTATCTATAGTTATGTGTATATATATTTTTTCTGGATTATTCTACTTTACATATATCTTATCAGTTAAATTATAAGTACTAGCCGGGCACGGTGGCTCATACCTGTAATCCCAGCACTTTGGGAGGCCGAGGCAGGTGGATCACGAGGTCAGGAGTTTGACACCACCCAGGCCAATATGGTGAAACCTCGTCTCTACTAAAAATACAAAAATGAGCCAGGTGTGGTGGTGCATGCCTGTAGTCCCAGCTACTTGGGAGGCTGAGGCAGAAGAATCGCTTGAACCCGGGAGACAGAGGTTGCAGTGAGCCAAGACCGTGCCACTGCACTCCAGCCTGGGCAACAGAGTGAGACCCCGTCTCAAAAAAAAAAAAAAAATTATAAGTACTTTCAAGACAGGAAAAAATACCTGATTGCTTTTGAACCTGCTTGCATACCTGTTAAGTGTAACTTCATATTTCCACTGATTTGTCTGGACTTTAAATATGGTAGAATGGAAATATTTTTATAATTATTTAATAAATATTTAGATTAAATATTGTAGAAAGATGCAATGAAGATTGTAGTTTTTTGAACAGATATTGTTTTAAGAGCCTTTTTTTTTGAGACGGAATCTCGCTCTGTCTCTAGGCTGGAGTGCAGTGGCACAATCTGGGCTCACTGCAATCTCCGCCTCCCGGGTTCAAGCAATTCTCCTGCCTCAGCCTCCCAAGTAGCTGGGATTACAGGTGTGTACCACCATACTCAGCTAATTTTTGTATTTTTAGTAGAGACGGGGTTTCACATGTTGGCCAGGATGGTCTTGATCACCTTGACCTCGTGATCTGCCTGCCAAGGCCTCTCAAAGTGCTGGGATTACAGGTGTGAGCCACTGTTAGTGTAATCTTCCCATCCATCCTGTTAGCTACTTTTAAAGAATTAACTGTAAAAGTCTAATTTTAGTTTCTGTCTTAAATATAACCTATCCATTTAAAAAATAATAGAGAATTTATTAGGCATACTTTTCATATGGAGTGACTGAGGTTTTGTATCTCCCTTCCCATATCATCTGGACCTTGTTCATTACTCATTATTTTCTATTCTCTGCTATTTCCTTTCCAACACAATTACCTGAGTACCTATAGCTACAGAAAGATTCCCAACAACCTGAAAATAACCTTTCATATGATTCTGCTCCTGCCTCTTCCTACTTTTCACATACGTGGCCATTTTCTTTCTTTCTTCCCCTCTATTGATGACTTTTGGCAGCTTGAAAACACAGTTATAACTTGGGCAACACGGTGAAACCCTGTCTCTACAAAAAAATACAAAAATTAGCTGGGTTTGGTGGTGTGCACCTGTAATCCCAGCTACTAGGGAGGCTGAGGTGGGAGAGCTGCTTGAACTGAAAAGTTGGATGTTGCAGTGAGTTGAGACACTACACTCCAGCCTAGGGGGCAGAGCAAGATCCTGTCTCAAAAAAAGAAAGAAAGAAAAGAAAACCTATTTATTTCTTTCACTTTAAATTCTACATCCAATCTATCTGACGCAAATCATATGATTTTCAATCTCATTGGCTGTCAAATTGGTTTCCTCCTTTTCATTTTCACTATTTCTCCCCTTGTCATACTATTCACACTACAGTTAGGCATAACTACTCTTCCTGACTCCCTAGAATTTATACCAAAGGCACCAACTGTTAGATTAGTCAACACATCACCAGCAAGAGACACAAGTCCATATTTTTCAAATTGCAATCAGAGTTCTTCCCAATCTGATTCCCAGTATAATTAATAGTAATGGCCACTTACGTGCTTACCGCAGATCAAGAGCTGGAATGTTTTTCACATACCATATCTAATTTATAATTCTCACAACAATCTTAGATTGTAAATAATTTTGACCTCATTCTGTGAGAAAATTACTCCAAACTTTATTTTATTTATTTATTTTTTTGAGACCGAGTCTCGCTCTGCCGCCCGGGCTGGAGTGCAGTGGCACGATCTCAGCTCACTGCAAGCTCCGCCTCCTGGGTTTACGCCATTCTCCTGCCTCAGCCTCCCGAGTAGCTGAGACTAACAGGTGCCCACCACCTCGCCTGGCTAGTTTTTTTGTATTTTTTAGTAGAGACGGGGTTTCACCGTGTTAGCCAGGATGGTCTCGATCTTCTGACCTCGTGATCCGCCCGTCTCGGCCTCCCAAAGTGCTGGGATTACAGGCTTGAGCCACTGCGCCCGGCCTCCAAACTTTATTTCTAAACATATCTTCCACCAAAACCATGTGGTGCCCATGGCCAAATCAGGTAGTTGATTTGTGAGTTCTGGAACTTGCTTTAACTTTCATCCTCTAGCCTTTACTCTGCTCTTTCAGCATCTAATCACATGCCAATTTCATTCTCCTGAGAAGTTTGCTCATCAGTCAGGACCCAATTCAAATTCTAATAGTTCTATGAAATTCTGTCCACATTCCTCACCTACCTTCTAGGCTCCTATGTATCTTTCCATCCCATTAAGGATGGAAAGGTCTTACATAGCATAATACCTTTAATGGATTCTCTCTCTCCACTTCTATTTTCTGATCTTTTATTTGCTTTTAATAATGAACACTCTAGTAGATATCCTTCTTTCTTTGTGATTTCACTTGACTTAGCATGAAAGCATATCTTAATAAAATTAGACTTCCTGTGGGCCTCATTTTACTGTAAATATTCTTGATATTTTTAAAAATAGGATAAGTGTAGTCTCAAAATATTCATAAGTATTGCACCTTTAAGAAATATCCAGAATTATTCTCAAAGGTTGTAGAAACATGCCAGTATATTAAGTACCACATACAGAATATTAATTTAGTCAATGGATTGCATGCCAAAAATGAGGAAGAGAACTGAAAAAAATACTAACAAGTGAGATGTGAAAATTAGGAACAGAAGGAAAAAAATAAATACATAAAACAAGACAATTCTCTACATGCTTTTGAAGAAAAGAAACTACAAATCAGACACCAAGATTTGGAAGATTAGCTTTGTAATATCCTGGAATTTGCTTTTACTTTCTTGACTTTGCCCTTTGCTCTGATGTTTCAGTATCCAGACTAATGCGAATTTCATTCTTCAGTTTAAATCAGCACATCAGTTAGGGATTAATCCAAACCTTAATGGTTTAGCATTTTCCTAAACTGTTTAATTACGGGCAAAATAGCCATGAAAGTCATTTTTAAGGGTCAATTCAATTTTATGATAATTTATATATTATGCCAGAAGCTTAAAATATGCCTATTATTACCCTAAATTCCATTCTTACAATACTAGGCTGCATTTTAAACATTTGCTGCAAATGACTATATCTTGAAGTCTACGTGATTACACAAGTTATTGTAAATACTCATGACAGATTTACTGAGGTGTAGGCAAGGAAATGAAAAAATAAATTTTATTATTTACTGTATTTCATGTTAAAACTAAATTATACTGTCTCTACTTCCGTAACATTGCTCCGCAGTATCCCACCTAGAGTGACCTGCTTTTGACGCACATCTCCCTATTTTAAACAATATCCTTTCATCCCAAATCTGTAACTAGGACAGTTGAGAGTCAGTACCAAAATCTTTGATGATATTTGAAATTGTGACGGGGCGCGGGGGCTCACGCCTGTAATCCCAGCACTTTGGGAGGCTGAGGGGGGTCGATCACGAGGTCAGTAGATCAAGACCATCCTGGCTAACATGGTGAAACCCCCGTCTCCACTAAAAAATACAAAAAAAATTAGCCGGGCGTGGTGGCGGGCACCTGTAGTCCCAGCTACTTCGGAGGCTGAGGCAGGAGAATGACGTGAACCCAGGAGGCGGAGCTTGCAGTGAGCCGAGATCGCGCCACTGCACTCTAGCCTGGGCGACAGAGCAAGACTCCGTCTCAAAAAAAAAAAAAAAAAAAAAAATTCTTTTACATAAAAAAGGTAAATGCACAGGCACTTTTTCTTGTACTTTTCCACTCCTCACGTCGTCTCCAAGCCTAAAAACTCTCTTAGGCGTTGAGAAGGAGTCTGCACTGCGGGATGCCTAGTGGAATTACCTACTATGGATGAATCCGCCCCACACTCTCGAGGGTGCTACAACCCTTGCTCTCACCCCGCCGTCCCCAGGCCTGTCCTGCAGGCATTCATGAGCCCAGGGAGAAGCGAGGCCGGGACCACGGCCCCGCTCGGCCTAGATCCGCCTTCTTCCCAGGTGAGCGTCGCTGTCCTCCGGGATCGCTCCTTGCCCCAGCCCAGGAGCAGGGTGTCGGGACTTGTAATTGCCCCGTAGCCCCGAGGGCGGGCAGGAAAGAAAGGCTTTTTCATACTCCGCCGGGAGAGGGTTGGGTGGTTGAGTTCAGACAGGTTCCGAGCGCTTTCTGGCTGTTTGGGGTTTGGCATGCCACGACTAGAGACTTGTTGTAACCCGTCTCCACTCCCGCCCCCTCTAGCGCTGCACCTCGGTCTCGGGGAGGCGCGGTTCGAGCCGGAATCAGCCTCCCGCCGCCGACTTGACGCTGGGCAGGTAACTCCCCTCCCCTCCCCGCCCTCGCCCGGGCGCTCGCTGCTTCCTGGGAGGCAAACCTTCGGCAGCGGGCGCGGTGTGGCGGGCGCGGTTGCGCGCGGCTTAGGGCGCTCCTGGCCGTAAGTGGGGCTCGGGCTCCCCTGCCCCGGACCACGGCGGGCGGGACCCCAGCGGGCGCAGGGTTGAGGTGCTTGGGGTGCTGGGCGGGGGGGGCCCAGGGCTTCACCCGCCCTTGGCCGGCGCGGCTGACGGGAGGGATAAGGGCCTCCCCCTTGGGAGCGCGCGCGGGATTGGAAGTTCCCCAGGGTGCAGAGCTCAGTTGCTTTAGTCTTTTCTACGTTTCTTTCATTGTCGTGTGGGTGCGAGTGAGTTGAGAACTTTGAAAAGTTGTCTCGGGCGGAGTCGGTTTGGGTCCCCAAAGGACGGGCGCCGCCGCTCGTGGACGCTGGATTTGTTTCCTCTTTCCCAGTGTAGGAGTGCGCCGAGGACCCCGGGAGAGGAAGCGGGAGGAGAGACCGCTGGGAAGAGTCTCGTGGGAGGAAATCCAGGGTGGAAGCGGAGGACGTGGGGGTGGAGGGTTCCGGGAAAAGGTGGGAGACCTTAGGTCGCTGAGGGGCGTGGGTGTTCTTTAGATCCGTAGTGAGGAGCAGAACTTGAAAAGACAGTTTTTTTCACACAACCTCTTAATTGTACAGGATCCCGTTTCTGAGTGCAGACTGGTAGCGACCTGTGTTTTTCAAACTTGGGTCGGCCTGAGTCTAGGTCTGTGTGCCCTAGCAGCTCTCCAGGAGAAAGTCTGTACCTACCAAAGTTTGAGAACCACTGCTCTAAATCGTGGTGAGTGATCTAGAGGAGGAGAGTATGCCTAGAGCAGGTTGCTCCTGGAACGGGACTTGGAGACTTTTGGCCTATTCTGTGTGATATGTGGGGGGTCTTGCCTGTATAAGGTGAGTGAAGAGGCAGGGAATGTGCCTGTGTTCATTGCAGGGGTCATAGGTATGTCAAGAGACAACAGTGCTTTAGAGGAGGAGGCTGGGAGGTTATGGGAACACAAGTTAGCACGTTGTCTATGCTTGGAGTGGTGAGGTTATAGGGTCTCTCTGACCTAGACGTGGAAATGAGAGCTCAGGCGGCCAGAACACTTAAGAAGAAGGTGTGCGGGTGGCAAGCAGTTGAGGCGAGAATTTAATGCCCAACACCTTATGTCCAAATTCCCATTTACAAACATCTTGCCAGGTTACTGGCAGGCACCTCCCTTCTTTCCCTTTCTCATCCTAACAAGTGCAAGAGCCCGGAGGAAATCCATGACAGAGGCTGAATCATTGCTGACTAGCATCAGGAAAGGAGACAGTGATGAAAGGGACTTAGAAGAGAAAGCTGGGTTTTTTTTGGGGGGGGGGGTGGTGGCGGAGGGAGGCTTCAAAATGATTGACGAATGAGAATAATATGAAATAGAACGATGGAAGGTTGGGAGTGCCGGTCTTTGTTGCGTTTGTTTCTTTCTGTCTTCCTATAGTTCCCAGAAAAGTAGAACTCCCCACACCTTCCAATTGCAAATTCCACCCCCTTGCCTTTGGGGCTCAGGCACACGTGGGGGGGTATACACCTATTTAGGGTGCTGGCTACACCCTCTAGAGCCTGCCTAAGGGGCTGGGTGGATCCTGCCTTTAAAGCTGGCAGGCTCTAGACCGCAGATGCTGAGAATTTATTGTGGGAAGCATTACCAATTGAACAGTTGCTGAAAGAGATTGTGTAGATGCAGACAAACCACACCTCTGGCGCTGACTCAGTGATGTCTTTTACGTTTATGCCCTTGAGTTTATGACGCTAACTGGCTAAACTTTTTTGGGATGAATTAATTAATTTTATTAATCTTTCTATTTTATTCCCTCTAGCGTCCACCGTTCTTTATAGTTTAAGGTGGAGGTTCATTCACTGAGTATTTTCTTGACCATGACTCACCTTGCAGCAACTCACCTACTTGTTTCCCATTTAATTACATTATACAATACTGAGTTGCCAAAATGTAATGTTATTATACTTTTAAGTGTCCAGAATCTTGGGGTAAAAAACTGTGATCCCATCAAAGCAGGACTCTTCCAATACATAAATCTAGTTGGATGAGACCTTTTGAAAAGAGGCCACTTAGCTTAGTTTAATTAATTATTGGTAAAATTTCAAGTTATCCTTGTTTAGCTAGTTAGGTAAGTTGCACATCTGTCCCTTTATAAGTTGCAAAATGTGAATGTCCCGTGGATGTTTCACAATTCAGCTTTTTAAACACAATGTTTTGTTCTTTTTGAAATGGCTTTTGTTCCTTTAATTTCTGACCTGGAAATGGAATGTATTTTAGAATTTTGTTGTTGAATTTATCATTTGAACATCAGAATACCTCCACTCCCCTGTGGAAACAAGAGTTCTAAATGACGGTTATTCACAGCCCAGCTTTAAGGATGCCGCAGAAAAAAATTTGTACAAATAGCACTTAAACTCCATCAAGAATTAAAGCCAACAACATTTCTCTGAGAAAATGTGTCAGAGCCTTCAGTGGGAGCTTCTTTCCCACTGAGGTGTGCCAATGGGTATGGGCACTGTCTAGAATTATCCTGGTCCCTAAGGGTAGAGCAGGCTTCCCAAGGGGATTGGGGGGTGGAGTGCTGTGGGAAGACAAGAGCTGGGGGAATGGTAGGCTCCAGTGGAAAGGATATACGTGGAGGTGAGGTGGAGTGGGGGGCAAGTGGGCTGTATGCTGGGGAGGAGGGTGCACTAAGGAGGCAGGGGGCTAACATGTACAGAAGATAGGGGTGGGGAATGGAGGGGCAAAGGATGTTTTCGGGGGCTGTGATGCTGTAAGGAAGGTGAGCCTGGGTGGAGAGATGATCCAAATATGAGGGATATTCACTGGGCTTGCTGTCTGTGTTGGGAAGTCCTGGAATCACATGATCATGAATGGTGGGAAACTTTTCCTCTGGGGACATCTAATTACTACCCAGTTTGTATTTTGTTTTATTTTTACATTGTCCTTAGGAGTGGGGTAAGATGTCCCCTAAGGGCACAGGACATTTATCTTTTGAGCTGTGTCTTAAATAATTTGTAGATTACTGGTCCGTGGGGAACTTAAAGTAGTCATAGTCAGCCTCTCTTGCATACTGACATAGGGTCAGGTGTAATCTCCAGGTCACTGGCAGGGGCCTATGTTAAAGAGTTTATAGAGAAGTTATGCAGTGATGATAATTATCTAATGGCTCTAACTTTGTGCTCTTTTACACTATCTCTTTGATTAAACATATTTATTGACCATTATCTGCCAAGCAATATATTCCTCTCCAGGGATAGGAAAGTGAAAATATATTCCTGGATCTTAGGAATCTTGCAGTTTAGGGACCTAATGATGATTACAAGTATACAAATAAATAAATGGATCAAGTCCACTGATTTTTGTAGTTCCTTCCTATTCTCTGAACATCACAGCAGACGTTGTTCGTGTTCATTAATTCATTTGTGAAATTGAACATTAGCAGCCCTGGGATTGTCATGTTTTTTGACAAAGTATTAACATTCTTTAGGCTTGCAGGTTTTTCACTGGTATTGTGAAACGTTTAGACTATGTGGCCACTCCTGTGTCCCACCCACAGTGCTCTGAAATTCTCTGTGATCACTTCTTATTGAAAATATCATAAAATAATGTTAACTAAGGTTTCTTCACAATATCACTGTGAAGCTTATTATTTCCACTACTTTGGCCAAATTTTCATTTCAAAGGGTTTTCGTTCTTTATTTAACATCACGTTCCTTCTTTGATTACATAAACATTACTACTTGGGAAATAAAAGGCAGTTTTCAAAGTACTAAAGAGTGACATCTTCCATCTCAATGGTGGTAATAGAATCAATCGACATGAGATGTTTGGGCTGTCATTTATATATACATACTAGCAATTATGGCTTTAATTCTTAACAGCATGTTCCTCCAAATAACCTAGTCTCATAAGACTCATTCAGCAGATTTTTTTTTATTATTATTATTATTCCTGAGACAGTGTCTCGTTCTGTCACCCAGGTTGGGGTGCAGTGGCACAATCTCCACTCACTGCAAGCTCCGCCTCCCAGGTTCATGCCATTCTCCTGCCTCAGCCACCCAAGTAGCTGGGACTACAAGGGGCCGCCACCACACCTGGCTAATTTTTTTTATTTTTATTTTTAGTAGAGACAAGGTTTCACTGTGTTAGCCAGGATGGTCTCGATCTCCTGACCTCGTGATCTCTCTGCCTCGGCCTCCCAAAGTGCTGGGATAACAGGCGTGAACCACCACGCCTGGTCTCAACAGATGTTTTAAAAGTACTATATTTTAACGGCCAGATGTGGTGGCTCACACCTGTAATCCGAGCACTTTGGGAGGCCGAGGCGGGTGGATCACAAGGTCGGGGGTTCAAGACCAGCCTGGCCAAGATGGTGAAACCGCATCTCTACTAAAAATACAAAAATTAGCCAGGTGTGGTGGTGGGCGCCTGCAGTCCCAGCTACTTGGGAGGCTGAGGCAGAGTATTGCTTGAACCTGGGAGGCAGAGCTTGCAGTGAGCCGAGGTCACACCACTGCACTTCAGCCTGACTGACAGAGTGAGACTCCGTCTCAAAAAAAAATAAAAAAAAAAGTGCTGTATTTTTTCAAATATAACTTCTGAGTTATTTGTTAAAGATAAGTGCAATATAGCTAAGATGTTTTTAGAGTAAGTAACTGTTTACAGTGTTCTCCCATAATTCTTTTTTTAGTTTCAACTCTTCCTTTCCATTTTCATCTTTATTGGCCTTTTCATCTTTTTTGTCACATCTCATCCTTTCTACCCTCCTTTTGTCCCTTCTCTTCCTTCTTTTTTCTTTTATGCTTCGCTTCTCTTCCTTCCCGTTATGTTTTTCTCTTCACCTCCCTTCTCTTTTTATCTATCCCTTCTCATTCCTTCTGATTTACTTTTTTACCTGTTCATCTTTCTTCTTTCTTATCTCCCATTTCATACTTCTGTTTATTTGTCCATTTCGCCATCTGTTGAACTACCAATTTATTTACATTTTGTTTTGTTTTTTTGAGATGGAGTCTCGCTCTGTTGCCCAGGCTGGAGTGCAGT